AATCTCACCCTAGTCAGGGATAACTAAATGAATCCTCCATATACATTTGTCTCCTCTTGGGCCGATTTCATGCTAATACTATAGAAAATGATGTCTTTAATGCGACGTAGAGAATTTGTAAGACTAGAGATTCTTTAAAATCTCACACTTCTTTTTTTAAAAAAAATTGGTAAATTATCTCACACTTCTCCCTGCACTAACATACAAGTCTATAACCAAACTAAAAGGAATCCATAAAATTATACTGAGAACTTCAAATCCTCCATAAGATTTAAACATAAAGGTCAAAGCTTTTTTTATTTTCTTTTTCTTTCATAACCGTGGTGTCCAGGCCAAACATAAAGGTCAAATCTTTGAGACCAACACTTGCAATCTTAAAGGGTGTAACTTGAAAACGAGCAAAGGTGTCAGCAACAGCAGTAGTATAATCACTACACTAAAGAGGTAGTCTGAAGATAACTTCACTCCGTCAGATTGGTTAATAATCAATTACACCTCAATCTCAACTCAGTCGGGGACAACTATGTGAATAGTGAATACTATACATGTTTCTTTCACTCCATTCGGTCACATTTCATTCTAATTCTACTAATATTTCTGTCTTTAATGCAAATTATAGGATTAGTAAAACGAAACATTCTCTTAAATCACACACTTCCCCCTGCATACAACATAGACTCCATAAAATTACAACAACATACTCAGTGTAATACCACAAATCTAAGGAGGTAGAGTGTACGCAAACCTTACCCCCTATCTTGAAGTTAAAGAGGTTATTTCCGCTAGTCACTCATCTCAAGGAAAAAACAGTCCATAAACAACATGACTAATCATTATGACCAGTAATTACAACAAAATAATACGATAACCGAGAATTCATACACAAAGCTCAAATTTTTGAAACCAAAAATTGCAATACGATAATTGATAATTCAAACACAAATCTCAAGTTTTTCAAACCAACAATTACAAATCTTAAAAGGGGTATAACCTGAAAACGAGCAATGGCATCAGCAGCAATGGTAGTGTACGCACTCCCCATATGAGGAGGAGCATTAACATAATAAAGTGGAGTTGTAAGTACAAATGAATCATCACCCCCAACCCCATTTGTCAAAAAAACATCTTTATCACCACCACCACTACTACTACTACTGCAAGTGCAGTAAAGGGCAGTTCTTGAAGAAGATGAAAAAAACAATTCTTTGCCAAAACTAATTCGATTCTTGAAAAAATTCTTTCTTGGGTTCAAAGTATTTCGAAAAGGGGTTGACGATAAGAACCAAAAACTGCTCTGAATTGAATGTTGAACTCTACATGCCATTTTTTTCCTTGAATTTGACTAACTGTGAGTGAAAAAAAATGGATTTTGTGCTACTGGGGTTCTTGAATTTGGCTTCAATAAGCTGTGAATAATGAAGAAATTTGGTTTGAGCTCAAAAAAAAAATTTGCAGAAAAGTGAAAAGGAAGAAGACGAACCAAAGCTTAAAGATTAGGGATGGACTTCACACTCCTATAATTATTATTTTTTTTAATGGAGAATAAATATTAGTGAATCTAATTACCAATTGTTAAAAAGTTAGTTTGACATTTTTTTTTTATAAAATGTTGATAGTTATTATTTATGTGGGTCCGCATATCGGTCTGTTTGATTTGATTTTAAAATTTATCAATTTGATTAATTGATTATTGATTTATAGACATGTTAAATCATTAAGAACCTTTAAAATGTTAGCTTATATGTTATTGATTTATCGATTATTGATTGTGATTTGACTAACCATTAATATTTCAAAAAATGAATGATCGAAAATCTCAAATAAAGAGCATGTACATCATGAGTTGCTTCATTGTATCTTGCTAAAAAAGACAACACAACCACGTTGTAGAATAATCGAGAGTTTGAAACTGTAAAAAATAAAAATATGAAACTAAATTCTACGAGAACTTTATATACCGAATGACATAAATATAATTTATTAACTTATTATTGAGTTATCGATTAACCCGTTAAGAAAAAAATTCTATCAATAACCAAATAATAAAAAAATCAAATATGTTATCAAAATCACTAAACCTACTTATTGCCAATGAACCTATTTTATCTTATTTTTTTTAATTCAAATTATTACTTTTGATTCACTAATTTTGTAGAAAACAATAATATATCAAATATAATTACATAATTTAATTCAAAAGAAAATAATCAAAGGAGAATTGAAAAGAAAATAATGGTTATTTTTATAGAATTAGGGAAAGAATAGATTGAGTAAAAGAAAAAAATGTTAATTTTGAATTGGGATAATCATATATAATATCAACTAATAACATAAAATAAATGGAGTAGCTACTGTTTGATTTAATTGTGTTCATAGCAAACGTTTGTTAAAGTTTGCCAGTCGCCTCTCTCCCAAAACTCTCACTTGCCACTTTCTCATCCTCGCTCACCACTCTCCCTTTACTCACCTCTCTCGCTTTTATTCAACAGAAGTGTATAAATTGTATTTCTGTTTTGTATAAAGAGAGAGAAAATTGTATATTCACATGCAAAAATATATATATTCATGCTATACACACAATTATACAATTTACAAACATTTTACTTCGATTCAATTGTATACAAATGCAAATTTTATACAAATATTGCAGCGAAAAAGGCCAACGAATTATACAATTGCAGTGAAATACAATTGTCTTTCACTTTATACAACAAAAGTGTATAAATTGTGTTTCTATTTTTTGTATAAAGCGAGAGAAACATATATCTTCTTCCTATACACTTATAATTATACAATATACAAACATTTTTCTTCGATTCAATTGTATTCAAAGCAAATTTTATACACATATTGCAGCGAAATAGGCCAGCAAATTATATAATTGCAATGAAATAGGTCAGCGAATTATACAATTGCAATGAAATAGGCCAGCGAATTCTACAATTGCAATGAAATAGGCCAGCGAATTCTACAATTGCAATGAAATAGGCCAGCAAATTATATAATTGCAATGAAATAGGCCAGCGAATTATACAATTGCAATGAAATAGGCCAGCGAATTCTACAATTGCAATGAAATAGGCCAGCGAATTATATAATTGCAATGAAATAGGCCAGCGAATTATACAATTGCAATGAAATGGGCCAGCGAATTCTACAATTGCAATGAAATAGGCCAGCGAATTCTACAATTGCAATGAAATAGGCCAGCAAATTATATAATTGCAATGAAATAGGCCAGCGAATTATACAATTGCAATGAAATAGGCCAGCAAATTATATAATTGCAATGAAATAGGCCAGCGAATTATACAATTGCAATGAAATAGGCCAGCGAATTCTACAATTGCAATGAAATAGGCCAGCGAATTCTACAATTGCAATGAAATAGGCCAGCAAATTATATAATTGCAATGAAATAGGCCAGCGAATTATACAATTGCAATGAAATAGGCCAGCGAATTCTATAATTGCAATGAAATAGGCCAGCAAATTATATAATTGCAATGAAATAGGCCAGCGAATTATACAATTGCAATGAAATAGGCCAGCGAATTCTACAATTGCAATGAAATAGGCCAGCGAATTCTACAATTGCAATGAAATAGGCCAGGGAATTATATAATTTAGGCCAATGAATCATACAACTGTATATGTATAGCGAGGCCAGCGAATTATACAATTTAGGCCAACGAATCATACAATTGTATATGTATAGCGAGGCCAGTGAATTATACAATTTAGGCCAGTGAATTATACAGTTGTATATGTATAGTGAATTATTACAGTGATATATTTCTTGTGGAACGCAATTATGCAAACTTTGCTATAATATATAAATATAATTTTTTATTTGCTATATGTGAAAGTTATCCTTTTGAATTAGGTTGAAAGTTACTTGATACAAAATAACAATTACAACAATTCATTAAGTTATTATATGTATCTTTAATAGTTTATATACGTTAAATTTAGATACTATTGTTTAAGCTTTAACTATTGTGATTGCCTATATTTATCTTCTCATATTAACTTTGGTAAATTTACCTTTTTAATTATTTAAATAAGCTTGATTTGCGTTTATTCATTATCAATCGATTTAACTTTCACGTTTATTTTTATCATTTTACTTTCACTAAACGATAGACCATCAACCACTACACCATATCTTAACTGCTATAATACTTTATGCAAATTATTTAAGTGCTAACTTTTTCTTACAATCAAATTTCGTTATAAAAATATTTCATTATAACAATATAATTTTATCCAGCATCAAATTTTCTTATTATATTTTTTCTTCTCCATAACAATATTATACCTATAATAACGTAACATCAATGTTCGTTTTAGCTTTACATTATTTATAAAACTATCCCTCTATAACACTCATATTAAATATTGCATAATAATATATCTAAAGAAATAATTATGCACATGAACAAAACATTAAAATATTTATAATAATCATCATTATTATCACGTACATTATAAAATTCGAATACAAATAGGAGAAAAATCTTATATATATATATATATATAATGTTTTATATTTATTTTTTATTAAACTAATACACTTCTTATTCTAAATACACAAAATTATTAAAGTAGAAGCAATTCTTTACATACTTTTATTTATAACATTTAATTAAAATTCAAAACATCAGATTAATAATCAAGTAAATATTCAAACAAAACATTTGTGATGTGTTTAAATTAACAATATTTTAAATATTACTAGTTGACTTCAAAGTGAACTAATTACTAATCTATAGTAATTAATTACACTAAATTAATAGAAATACTCCACGTCACTGATCCGCGTGCTTCTATTTGTACTTATCTATCCACCGTTAGATACACATTTCATCGAACGGCTCAGATTGAAAACAGAAAATTTTTCGCTCCAAAAATCGAGAACAAAAATTCAAATTCTACCGCCAAAACCCAAAAAAAATTTCCCAAATTCGAAAATCAAATCTCTACAAAACCCTAACCCTAACCCAATTGATTTTCATCACAAATCGATTCAATCTCTTCTCAATTCAATTTTTCGATCTCTGTAGAAATGTCTGGCCGTGGAAAGGGAGGAAAGGGTTTGGGTAAGGGAGGAGCAAAGCGTCACCGGAAAGTTCTCCGTGATAACATTCAGGGAATCACTAAACCGGCGATAAGGAGGTTAGCGAGAAGAGGCGGAGTGAAGAGAATCAGTGGGTTGATCTATGAAGAAACAAGAGGTGTTTTGAAGATATTTTTGGAGAATGTGATTCGTGATTCTGTTACTTACACTGAACATGCTAGGAGAAAAACTGTTACTGCTATGGATGTTGTTTATGCTTTGAAGAGACAAGGAAGAACTCTTTACGGGTTCGGTGGTTGATTTCGTATGTTTTCATCTTTTTTTTCATTGTTGTTGATGGGTAATTGAATTTAGCTGGTGTTTTGGTTATAGAATCATTGTAATTGATGAATTTGTGTTGAATGAAATAGTTCTCATTACTAGTTCAGATATAATTCTTCTATGAAAATTCTTTTGCTAGTTATTTATCAATTTTGTGATAAAAAATCAAATCTTTATCATAAGATTTTGCTGGTTTCTGCTGATTAGTTGCAGAAATCTATATGAAAGGGATATTTGTAGTAGTATTAGAGTCTCTTCTGCTAAGTTCCCATTGATGCATACATCAAATTCAATACAAAGATCTTGTAATCTTGATGGGTTTTAGGCATTATTTAGTATTTGCAGGTTTTCAGGTCATCAAAAATGTCTCTAAACCAGAAGAATGGCAAATGTCAGTGTTGCTTCATTATGTAGTATTTGTAATTACACCCAGTCTTCTTGTTTTAGAGAAAGTGAAGGTTAGTTTGAGTAATTCATAGGTTCATTTGTTAGATTAATGAATATTCAGATAGATTGTATTGTTTTACGTTGTTATATAATTTTATAGGTTTGTAATTTTAATGGTGGGTGTGCACTATTCGGATTAAACCGAATAAACAAACCAAATAAAATCATATTTTTATTTGGATTGGTTTTTTGGTGTTTCCATATTGGTTTTGGATTAATAATTTGTTTTTTTTTTTGGTATGGTTTTGGTTTTATTTTTTTTAAAAACAAAACTAATATATATAAAGTTTTTAATTTTAGAATTGAATTATAGTTGATCATTTTTGGTTATTGGCTCTGCTTTTATATTTTATGTTTGAAAATCTTTAATAGGTATATTTACAAGTATTGTGTTTTAAGTTTCAGTTATGATTTATTGTATTAGAAAGTATGTTTTGAGGGATTCAATATCGTTACTTTGGCTCTATATTATTAATTATTGATATAATTGAATTGGAAAAAGCTGAATCGAATAGAGAAAAATTAAACTAAACTAAATTTATTTTGAATCGGATTGAATTACACTTTTACAAAACCAAGAACAGAAAAATCCTAACCGAATGCAGACCCCTGGGAGCTATTATGAATATGCAGAATAAAAGATGGAATATGAATATTAAATAATAAGTAAAAGATAAAATGAAATTAATAAAGATAAAATGAGATGGAAATAATAAAATAACAGTATAAATCTATTTAGAAATCTCACGTAGAGAAATTAATAATTTATTGATGTATTGATAGTACTAATGTATTGATAAGTAGATCAATTGTGTACTTCAACTTAACATCGTTGGGTTAAAATTAAGAAGTGTTTATCATCTAAGTAACTCACTATCGTTTATCAAATTTTGATTTGAATTTTGCTCTAACTATACCCATTTCTACCTTAATTAATGTCTGACTTGAGATTATAATATTGAAATAAACCAATAACATTTTTATCGGTATTTCAATTGATTTCATTTTAGTTCTCTCGAATAATTTTGAAGATCTTGTTCTCAACTTTCTAATATAAAATTATATTTAATGGGAAATATTTAATTTATTTTAGGACAAATTACAAAAATCACATTCTTATAAAATTACAATTTATCCTTTAAAAGCTTATAATTACAAAAATCTTTTAAAATAGATACAATAATATAGGCATTGATATATTAGTCTAATGTGCGAGATACATTAATTTAATGCTCAAGATACACTAGTCTAATGCGCAAGATACATTAATCTAATGCCCTAGGTATATTTTATACATGATACACTAATCTGATGCGCGATATACATTAGTTTGATGTGTGAGATACACTAATTTGATGCGCAATATACATTAATTTGATGTGTGAGGTATATTTTTTACATGATATACTAATATGATGTGCGAGATAAATTAATGTGATGTACAAGATACACTAACGTAATGCATGAAAATGAGAGATTTTAAAAATCTATAGAACTTATAGCGAATAACGAAAATAAGTAAACTAAAAAGTAGAATTTTCGTAATTAATAATTTATTTTATCATAAAATAAATTTTCCAACACACAATATGATGCAATTTGTAACAAACTTATGTCCACTCAATGTTTGTCACATTTTATCTTACTCTTCCAATTTTTTAAATTTTTTTTCCCCCATAACAATCACTCATCAAGATAAGGATTGCATCAATTATTTTTATTAATATTTAAAAATTTAAATGTCACTCCAACTAATTAACATGTATGCCTTATAAAAAGAAAAATGACAAAAATGCAAAATATTGAAAAGTTTTATTTGAATTGTTTTAACAATTAGATATTAATAGTGCCCTTTTTACTTTTTTTCGTATTTAATTTATGTGACATATTTTTTATTTAAAATTATTTAAATTTATACTTTATATTGTACGTTTTCATAAATTTATAGTTATATATATATTTTCTATTATTCTTAAATTTTATGTCTAATCAAATTGTATTATAAAATTGAAATGAACAGACTAATGTTTTTTTTTTTGTTCAAATATCAAATAAAACACAAGTGTGACAAATTCATTCCACCAATCCTTTCTTATCATTTATAGGCAAAGGATAAGTCAACTTCAATTATTAGATGAAATTACAACCAAATAGCAACCACATGTTGGAGATTTTTTTTGGAAATTATGTCATTAAAAATAAAATTGAAATTATTTTAACACATAAAAGTATATTATTTGTTGGATGTATTTAAAATAAAGGTAAAATAGTCTGAAAAATATTTCAATTTTGACCGAAATTGTTTTTATGATATCAAACTTTAGGGAGGATCTTTTACCCTCTTCCCACGTGAACACATTACTATTTATAATGATGCAATATTTATGATGTTTACGTAGGCACAAACATGCCTTTGAAACACACTATTAAATAATGTATGAGATAAGATGTCAATTCCAAAGTTCGATATAGCAACAACAACTTCGATCAAGTTCAGATATATTTTAGGTCTTTTTCCGTAAAATAAAAGAGTACATATAAAATGGAACAAATAAAGTACAACGATAATAAATCTAATGAAATTTCAAATTTAAGGTATACGAAATTAATGTAAATAGATTTTATCACTATATCATTAAAATAGAGATTATTACCGAAAGATCTTCTAACTGCTCAAATGCAATAATTCAGGAACAAAGAAACTAATGAAGCATTATTTATGTATATAATTCCTTTTTTTTAAAAAAAAATAAAGAATTTTAAGTGTCAAGATGTTTCTAAAGTAAAAGATGAATATTATTAATACTCCAATTGTCTAGAATTATAATTTTTTTTTAAATTTTATTTATAGAGCACCTACCCCCAACTTGATTATTTGGTTGTTGTTGGATTCATGATACATCCTTACAATGATTTTAATAATTTATATAAACTAATAATTTATATAAACTAATAATTTGTTGTACTCAACTTATATAAACATAATAAAAAGGAATTGTATAATCCTCCTCATTTATATTTATACTTATTAGAAAAATCAAATTTGTACCTTGGATGAACAAAAGTTGAATATAATATATGAACTTTGTAAAGGAAGTGGACACATAAAAGATTATTCATATAATTAGAAAAATATTATCTTTTAAACATGATCTTTCAATTACAAATTAGGTGCAATAATAAATTTATAGATTCATCAGAAGTGTATTGGAATACAGTCAGCAATACTAACTTTTAATGGTGAAATATTTAGGTTATTTTTTTTAATGATTCGATTTTTTAATATTCGCTTGAAGATTCGATTAATTTTTATTTATATAAAAAGCTTACTTTAAGGGATAAATGACAAACATAAGGGCGATTTTTTTTAATTGAATATGCAAAATCAACACATTTTAGAATTAATAAGATTTTAATTTTATTTGTTTTAAAGGTCATAGTGAAATACTTGATTCTTAAATCGTGATCTAATATGTCTAAAAATCTTATAGTTATTGTCAAATATAAAAGGCGGAGTATAAAAAATATAAATTTGACAAAATTTAATAATTTTAATCTGGAGACAAATATTGGGAACGAATCAATTTATTGAGTTTGCACATATGACAAATTTCAGAATTAATAAAATTTTTAAATTCTGAAATTTTATTGCTAGTAGTGAAAAATATCAAATCAGTTCAAGACATGCGAAACAAAATGTGTTATGTAAAATACAGTATTCAATGCTATTCAAATTATATTCAGACTCAATACAATTATTAGCCACACACGATTATTTTGCTAATAGTGAAAAATGCCAAATCACATCGGACATGGTAATGATGTGTCTATGAGTCTCATTTTCAGACAAAACAACTTCATTAAAGTAGAAGTGTTACTTTCAAATTAATTTAACTTCTAAAATTAGTCAAATTAACATTTATAAAGCAAAACATGATACATATAATAGAATCTTTCGATATTACTGAGGTTATTCAGCCAAATACAAATATTGAATACACACAAGTATTTTATTGTTAGTAATGGAAATGTCAAACAATATCAACACAAGCAAAGCCTGATACAGACTATAAAATATTTGATACTATCGAGATTATGTCGACCCAATACAAATATGAGACATATACAAATATTTTATTACTAGTAGAGAAAAATGCTAAACAACATCAACATTTTCGAAGCAAAACGTGATAAGCGATATAGAGCATTCTTTTGAGTTCAATACAAGTATCAGAGACACATAAATATTTTATTGCTAGTAGTGAAAAATGTCAAACCACATCAACACCTATAAAGTAAGAATATGATTAGGTACAATAGAGCATTCGATACTATCAAGAATATTCAGACGCAATAAAAATATCAAATATGTATGAGTATTTTATTGCATGTAGTGAAAAATATCAAACTTCCTCACACTTGCGAAGCAAACGATATATACAATGGAATCTCTCAATAGTCGAGATTATTCTGATACAATACAAATATCAAACGCAGACGAGTATTTTGTTGCTAGTAATAAAAAATGTCAAACCACATTAACAACTGAAGAAAAACATGATACGTATAATTGATTATTCAATATTATCGTAATTATTTGAATTCAATACAAATATCAGACACACATGAGTATTTTATTTCTAGTAGTAAAACATACCAAACTGAATCAACACGTGCAAAGCAAAACATGATACATAAAATAGAGCATTCAATACTATCAAGATTATTTAAGCCCATACAAATATCAAACTCACAAGAGTATTATATTACTAGTAGCAAAAAATGTCAAATCGCGTCTGATATGGTAATGATGTGTCAATGGATCTCATTTTCAGACAAATTAACTAATTAAAGTTAGAAAAATTATTTTCTAATTAGTTTAGCTTCTAAAATTAGTCAAATTAACACTTGCAAAGCAAAACGTAATACATATAATAGAATCTTTTGATACTACTGAGATTATTCGGGCCTATACAAATACAGAACACACACGAGTATTTCATTGTTAGGAATGAAGTAGTAAAACCATAGCAACACATGCAAAACTTGATACGTACTATAAAGTATTTGATACTAAAATACTACCTAAGATTATTTGAACTTAACACAAATATCAAACACATAATAGTATTTTATTGCTAGCAGGGAAAAATATCAAACTACATTAAAATATGTGAAGCAAAACATGATATGTACGATAGAACATTTATTTGAATCCAATAGAAATATTAGAGACACACGAGTATTTTATTGTTAATAGTGAAAAATGTCAAACCACATCAACATATGCAATGCAAAACATGATACGTACAATAGAATACTCAATATCGTAATAATATTCATACCCAATACAAATATTAAATACACATGAATATTCTACTGCTAGTAATCAAAAATGCCAAACCACATCACATTTACAAAGAAAACGATACATACGATGAAATCTTTGATATTATCGAGATTATTAGGGCACAATACAAATATCAAATTCACACGAGTATTTTATTACTAGTAGTAAACTAAAAATGTCAAATCATATCAACACCTGAAGAAAAATGTGATATATATAATTGATCATTCAATATTATCAAGATTATTTAGATCATTACAAATATCAAACTCACATGAGTATTTTATTACTAATAGCGTAAAATGCCAAATCACATCTGACGTTGTAATGATCTGTCCATGGGTCTCATTTCCAGACAAAACAACTTCACCAAAGTAAAAATATTGTTTTTAAATTAATTTAACTTTTAAAATTAGTCAAATTGACACTTGCAAAACAAAACGTGATACATATAATAGAATCTTTCGATATTACTGAGATTGTTCGGCCCAATACAAATACTAAACACACACGAGTATTCTATTATTGGTAATGAAAAATGTTAAACCATATTACCACAAGCAAAATCTGATACGTATAATAAACTATTCCATTTTATAGAGATTATTTGGACCTAACATGTAGACCTTACACACACAAGTATTTTTTTTTACTAATAGTTGAAATTGTCAAATTATATCAACATATTGCGAAATTAAACATGATATGTACATTAAAATATTTATTTAGATCCAATATAAATATTACAGACACACGAATATTTTATTTCTAGTATCGAAAAATGTCACACCACATCAACAATTGCAAAGCAAAATATTATACGTACAATAATATTCAATTCTATCAAGAATATTCATATTTAGTACAAATATCAAATACACACAAATATTTTAGTACTAGTGGTAAAATATACCAAAAATTATATCAACATGAGCGAAGCAAAACGTTATATATACAATAGATCATTAATATTTAGACCCATACAATATCCATCTCACACAAATATTTTATTACTAGTAGCAGAAAATTCCAAACCACATCTGACTTGGTAATGATGTGTCTATGGATCCCATTTTTAGACAAAACAATTTTATTGAAGTAGAAATATTGTTTTCAAATTAGTTTAGCTTCTAAAATTAGTCAAATTAACACTTGCAAAGTAAAATATAATTCCTATAATAAAATATTTCGATATTATTGAGATTATTCCGTTCAATACAAACATTAACACACACGAATATTTTATCGTTAGTAATGAAAAATGTCAAATCATATCAACACAGGAAATTCATGATACATACAATAAAATATTTGATACTATCGAAATTATTAGGACCTAATGCAAATACAAGAGATATACGAGTATTCTTGCTAGTTGTGAAAAATGCCGAACTACATCAACATATGTGAAGCATGACGTGATATGTACAATAGACCATTTTATTTGAATTCCAATAAAAATATCGAAGATACACGAGTAATTTTATTGCCAGTAATAAAAATGTGAAATCACATCAAACACATGTGGAACAAAACATGATACATACGATACAATACTTAATACTATTTAGAATATTCAGTCCCAATACAAATACAAAATACGCATATTTTATTGCCAGTAGTGAAAAAAAATCAAACAACATCACAGATACAAAGTAAACGATACGTATAATGAAATCTTTCGATATTTTTAAAATTATTCTGAAACAATACAAATACCAAACACGCACAAAGTATTTTATTGCTAGTAATAAAAAATGTCCAATCACATCAACACTTGAAGAAAAACGTGATACGTATAATTGTTCATTCAATATTATCGAAATTATTCGAACACAATATAAATATCGAACACACACGAGTATTTTATTGCTAGTAACGAAAAACGCCAAATCATATCTGACATGGTAATGATGTGTCAATGGGTCCCATTTTCTAACCAAACAACTTCTTCTTCAACAATTATTATCACTGAAAAAATATAAATAAAAAAACCATTGATTTGTTGCAGAACAGGGTGCGGCGATTTTGTCTTTAAAGCCTCACAAATTTCATATATATATTTATGTATTCGGCCGGATAAGTCTCTCAGATTCAGACGCCGGTCATCGGTAAGTTCTTCCCGGAGAATTTCTGATATATAGCCGCCGGTGCCGGTGAATTTGAACAAAAAATGGGGATTGCATGGGACGATGTCGTTTTGATTGAACACAGAGGGAAAACCGGTGAGCCGACTTCTATCACCGTGAATTGCCCTGATAAAGCTGGGCTTGGATGTGACCTTTGCCGGATTGTTCTGGAATTCGGACTCTATGTTACTCGTGGAGGTAAGCTATTGAAGACGGAAAATTACACTGTTTATATATATATATATATATATATATATATATATATATATATATATATATATATAAATGTTGAATCCTGTTTGGGTTTTTCTCGCGTGTTTACTTCTTCCATTTCTTCGTGTTTTTGAATCTCCTTGATGAAAATCCTGCTCTGCGTCTCGGGTTGTGAGGTGTCTTATTCTTTCATTAGGATTTGGATCTACATTTAAAAAAAAAAAAGTTATTGGTCCTTTGTTGTTTTCATTTTCTATTGTTTGTTTTTAACATTGAATGCTAATTTTGCTTGATAAGTTGATGGTTTATGGTTGATTTGTATGTATGCTATATGTTGGTGTATTTCAATATCTATACTGCAATGGTGGCTAAAGGTTTGTGCTTTTTGTGTTAGTCTTTTGATTTGGTTTGTTAATCTTCTGAGTCATTGACAAAAGAAATGGAAAAAAGCTTGTGTCCGCTTCAACTGATTTTGCAAAGGACTTGTTATCTCCACATTCACTAGTACCTCTATACCTTCTCTAGGATAGGGGTAAGGTGTGTGTACACTCTACCCTCCCGGATCTTACTTGTGAGGATTACACTGTGTTTGTTGTTGTTGTTGTTACCTGCTACCTCCTCATGCGCGGGGACTGAGTAATTCTATTCACCAAGGGGGGGATAGATGGGAAGAAACGTAGTATTTTTGCCTCCGGTTGGTGTTGAATCGAAGTCCTCATGTTAATAGTTGAGGTTTGATTTTCTAATTTCCCAATCTATGTTTAGTGTTCAGTGTTATGATGAAGCTGTTAGAGGGAGAGGAGAGGAGGAAAGAAAAGAGATTAATAAACCATCGTGTCGCTTGCTTTCAGTTTGAATTTTCTCTTAAAGTACTTAGCTTATCATATGTGAGGTTTTCTGAATCCTGTCCAGGGTCAAAGTTTGTAAGAAAATCACTAGACAAACAAACTACTTGCAATGAAATGTCAGAATACATCTTTAGTTGAACTAATGTGTTTTCATGTTTACATTTAGCTTCGAGTTCTTTCATTTTCCTGACAGAATGTTTGTTAGCTCAATTATTTCCGTCTTTTTTAACGCCTTCATGATTTATTTCACCAGCTACTTAACACGTTTTATGATATGGATGGGTAAATTAATACAGATTTTGCCACCGATGGGAAATGGTGTTACATAGTACTGTGGGTTGTGCCACGTCCAAGCTCGCTAAAGGTGGATTGGGGAAGCTTGAAAAATAGGCTTATGTCTACATGTCCCTCATGCATGATTTCATTTTACCTAAACCAACAGTCCACTGCTTCTGCACCACCTCCAGTTTACCTATTGAAGGTGTTTTGCCTAGACAGGAAAGGATTGCTACATGGTAAGCATAATACGTCTTAACTTTTTGTGCTTTTTTTACTAGCACATAGTTTCATTAAGTTCTCATGTGGTTATTTGTGCTTTTCAGATGTTACTAAGGTCCTTTGCGAGCTTGAGCTAACAATTCAAAGAGTGAAAGTCACGACAACACCAGACGACAAAGTTTTGGATCTCTTCTTCATAACTGATTGCATGTAAGTCTCTTGAAGTCCTCAACAGGTTTACGTTGCCTTTGATCATTATCATAATTGACTTGTGGTGATCTATTTAGTATAAGATTGTTTATTCTGTGGCCTTGCTGCATTATTATTGATGCTGCTAATGCTGTAAGACCATACCATTTCTGATGGTTGAACCAGATACACAGTGATTGGCTGTTAGACTGAAGAAAGTCCCCTTTTTAACTGATCAGTATTAACTAAGCTCAATAACCATTGAGGTGAAAGAAACAATGTCAAACTCAATTACCAAGCATTATGTTGTCCTTACCCATGTATACCGAACCAATATTGAAAGATCTTAGATGTTAAAGAGATGGATGCCCTTTAGTGAATTCTCTATAAAAAATTAGCAGTAATTTTTATCCTTTTCTTTGGAATGATTTTTTGTCTGTATAGAGCAAATTGAGTATGGAGGAATCATATAGCCCCAAGTAGTTTGAGTTTGCGGTATAGTTGATTGGTTGGCTGGTTTTGCCTTAAGCATGAAGTATATGTCAACCAATGTAGTTATAAATCTTTTTTTTCCTATTAATTATTGGAAGGATTTTATTATTTTTGCACTTCTTATCGGAAAACTGAACACTTGACTGCGGATGGAATGTTGATGCTGTTTGTGGCTTGATATCAGCTTCATAATATAATATCTTTAAACAACCAGAATGTTAAACTACATAAAATAATTATTGATGTAACTTATGTTCCACAAAAACCTGCCCCCAAGTTGTGCTGCAACTCTCGCTAATATATTATTGTGTTTATTGTAGAATACTGTGATTTGTCTGTTGTTGATCCTTTTGGTAATTCTACTTCATTTCCACCATATGATTCAACTATTGGGCCGTGAAAGTTGATGCTCCTCTTCTGCTATCAAATGAGGAAAAACCTAAGCATTACAAATAAAAGTTATCAGTAATTGCCTGTTATGTGGTATTTACATTTCTGTTTGGTATTCTTTCATATCAGGGACTTGCTGCACACAAAACAAAGACGAGATGAGACATGTGAACATCTAAGTAATGTTCTGGGAGAATATTGCATTAGCTGTGAGCTTCAGTTGTCGGGGCCTGAATGTGAAGTTCAGCAAGGATTCGCTTCTCTTCCACAAGAAGTTGCAGAAGAGTTGTTTAGTTGTGAATTGTCTAAGGAAGCAGTTCCCATGTCCTCTGCATCTGATACGGCAAAATTAAAGAAGGCAACCATCACAGTGGATAACTTATTGAGCCCAGTTCACACGTTGCTTCAAATACAATGCGTTGATCAAAAGGCCCTCATCTATGACATTTTGAGAACTTCAAAGGACTGTGATATTCAGGTAACCATATATTTTACCAACTGTGTAGTGAATGCCTTTTCTCTGGAATCGAATTTGTGTTGTAAGCAAACCACTTTCGACGTGTAGATGGTTCTCAAAATTTATGTCCTGTGAAATTTCGATGTGTTAAAGGAGTCTGCTATATATACTGGAGTTGCAGTTCTTGTCTAAAATTGTTCACAACGGACATATGTGATTACCTATACTTCATTGGTGCTTTTAGTTTGGAATATCTTTGCTATTGCCTTATTTTCAGACGTTAAACTTATGTGCTATTATTTCTAGTCCAGATTGCTTTTGGAAGAATCCAGTCTACTGCCAAGGGTTATCGTACTATAGACCTATTTATCCAGACAACAGATGGGAAAAAGATTATCGATGATGAGAACATAAAATCTTTGTGTTCCCGCTTGAAGGAAGAGATGCTTCATCCACTTCGAGTCACTGTTGGCAGTCGTGGCCCAGATACAGAACTACTGGTTGCCAACCCCGTTGAGTTATGCGGAAAGGGAAGGCCACGTGTTTTCTATGATGTCACAATTGCCTTAAAAGAGCTCGGGATCTGTGTTTTCTCTGTAAGTAGCCATATCCTCAAATTCTCCTCCATACACGTTTCTACTTCCATGGCTCTAACAGATACACATCTTTGCAGGCTGAAATTGCAAGACATTCAACAGCAGAGAGGCAATGGGAAGTTTATAGGTTCCGATTGGATGAAAGCCCCGCGTACCCATTAGCTAGCAAGAAAGCTCGGACTGATATCCTGGATAGAGTGAAAAAAACACTAATGGGCTGGTGAAAATTCAAAAATGTACAAATAGCATCAAGTCTTTTGACTCAGCTCAGCAACGTCCAACGGTCACCATGTATGTAACATCTGCAAGAAAACAAACAGAAGCTTAAGGAGAACCTTGAGCCATCGGAGAACCATCGCCTCGAGAGCTGATTCTGTGACTTATCTAGGTTTCTTTTAAGTTAACATTAGCTGTATGAGTTTTATGAGAGGTTGTAATGTTGTTACCTCTGGATTAAATCATATGTTTCTCTTTATATTATAATAGGATCTCCTTTATTTTTACCATTTCTCTTCCCTTTCTGCATATTGATATTATGTTGTTATGGGCAGTGTGCATTTGGTATATTTTAAGATAAAAATGTATATATAAGTAATGTTTTTCGCAAGTGCTCGATGAAATAGTCGACTTGTGCACCAGCTAAATTATATATCATCGTTGAAATTTTCTTTAATATTTCTCAAATATACATTAATTATGGAAGTTGTAATCTCATATAATAAGGCAATGATCAAAATAATAGTCCAAAGGGTTAAAATTAACCTTAAACTTATTGTTGGGATTAACCATACTCTCATCGATATTTGTAGTTTGGGAAGTGATATTTTTTTCCTTTTTAATAAAATGGTTAATACTTTTTGATTAAATTTTTTGATTCAAGGCTTAACAAAACAGTTCTTCAGTAGGGCGTTACTCCAAGCGAATTTAAATTTGATTGAGAACAACATCGTATTAAATACTATTCTTTTCTTAATGTGGGTTAAAAACCACTTGTATAGGTCCGGGTTGAGGATTGGGGGGCCGCGCCCTACCCCGTCGGTTCAAGCCTCATTATGAGAACTGGCGCCTTTTAACTTTCTATGAGTAAAGCCCCTCGCTCCACTCATTTTGAAACTTCTAATCAGTCCTGATTGAACACGACATAGATCAAAGGATCGTTCATTAGTCCTACTAGTCAAATATATGAAAAGGAGGGATGTATTTCGACCTTGCTTTGAAAATAAAGCTAACAGTTTAATGAGTTAATGGTTAAATACACACTTATCAAATTGGATGTAGGTGCCATCACGACTTAGGAGAGGTTTGGGTCGTGATAATTTTGGCTCTCTTTTTTCTTTGGATGAGAGACCCGATGAAAATAAAACTAAAAAATTAATGAGTTAACGGTTAAATACACACTTATCAAATTGGATATAGGTGCCATCACGACTTAAGAGAGGTTTGGGTTGTAATAATTTTGGCTCTCTTTTTTCTATCAGATGAGACACGAGATGAAAATAAAGCTAAAGAATTTAATGAATTAATGGTTAAATAAATACACACCTACCGAATGAATGTAGGTGCTATCACGAATTAGAGGAGATTTTTGAATCGTGACAATTTTGGCTTCTTTTTTTTCTTTTAATTTTTAATTCAACATTTGATATCCGTTTTAAAGATTGACTAATCGTAATTTGCGTTAAAAATCTGAATTCAAAGATAAAATCGTCTAGGTAATCATCCCCGAGGCTCAAATTCAGACGAAGTACTTACTACACCATCACAACGCAACTCGTAACAAAAAAAGGTCTCTAAAACTTAAGTTTAAAACCCTAAAACACCTTCTTCTAGGGTTCAGCAACCAGTAAAACCCCTTCTTCTTCCTCGCTCATCAATTTGGTCTCTGAAATTCTTCGATTCCGTTGCTATACAAGGAAGATGAAGAATCTGAAGATATTGAAGGAGCAATTCTCAAAGATTCAGTTACAGTCCGAAGATGAAGTTATCAGCTTTGCAGCATTTGACGTTGAACGCAATCGTCTCTTCTTAGCTTCATCTTCAAACTTCATATACACTTTATCTCTTCCATCATCTAATGTAAGTTCTTCCAAATCATTGCAGTTTTAATTTTCTTAAAATTTTGAATCTAATTGTTTAGTACACATTTGATACATACTCTGTCAACTTTTACGAACATGATAAAGATGTCTTTTTTTAAAATCATCTTTTGTGTTAAGAGACCCCACTTGTGTTAATTGGTATGAGAAGAATTGTTCGGGTGTGTATCGAAACAATCTCTCTACCTCTCGAAGGTAAGGTAGGGATAAGGTCTTCGGACACACTAACCTCCCCAAAATCCCACTTGTGAGCTTACGCTTTGTTGTTGATACGAGAAGAATTGCAGCTTGTATAGTTTTTGAATATTGAGTTGATATAATCCAATTTAACTTTGAAGATTAGTCAACTTACTCTGGATTAGCAAAAAAGGATGTCATATATTGGGAAAGATATTATCACTAATGAATATGATAAACAATTTAAATGACCTGTGGCGTATCCTCGATTTGGAGTTAGTTCTTATGTATGTGCTACCCTTAAGTTGGAGAAGTGGTGAATTTTTTTGTTCTTCATTTTTTGCATGCAAACTTTGTTTGGTTGCAAAGGTTTCAGCTTTGTTTGCTGACTTTGAAAAACTTATTATTATAGAAGGTTATTTTTTTCCCGAAGTTCGGATAGAAGATTGTTTTTTAATTTTAAACAAGCTAAGTTCTTTTTGCAAAAGGAAAAAAACAAACAAGAAACGAATGCCTTATAAGATTTTTCCTAATTTCTGGAAGTATTATGTAGTTAGACCAAACACTATGAGTTTACTTTTCTTCCTCTTCATACTTCATATACACTTTACCAAACGTTATTCGGATTTAATAATCTATATTATCATAAATAGCTAGGATAAAAAATTTAGATGACCCTGTTACGGGTTTAGGATTTAGAGTGAGTTCTTCACATATAAGTTTGTCCTCACAGAAAAATTATTCTCTGATTATCTTGGTGTTATGGCAGAATGCAGGAGGTTGGAATTCCATATCAGATAACCTTGTTGATTTGGAGCCCGGGGATTTCATTACTTCCATGGATTATTTAATGGAAAAAGAAGCGTTGATTATTGGGACTTCGTATGGTCTTCTATTGCTATACACTGCAGATGATAATACGACAGAAATTGTTGGCCGATTGGAGGGTGGAGTAAAGTGTATCTCACCTAGTCCAGATGGAGATCTTCTTGGTGTAATTACTGGTTTTGGACAGATACTAGTGATGACACCCGACTGGGATGTTTTATACGAGATGGCTCTTGATGATCTACCTGAAGATATTGACGTACGTAAGGACTTCTTTCCAAATATCTGAATTAATAAATCTTTTGCCTCTTCAAGTGAAGTTCTATCATCCTTAAAATGCTCTTTTGGTGATTATATGTACATTTCCGGAATACTTTTTTAAAGATCAAATTCTTTGAAATCACAATCATGGCATCATTTTTGGTTGCTATATTTTCCTCTATTGGGATCATTCTACTATTGTCTTTTCCAGGTTGAAGCTAGGTATAATATTAGAAGTGTTGGCAATTTGTCTGTATAAACATGTTCTTATGTTTAAAGAAAGTTGATCTGCGGAAAATGACAATTCTAGTTTGGTTTAGTTAGTTTCATAATTATTTGAAAATTATGTTTACTTTCCAGACAGTATCTGAAATTTGGTGTCTGGTTTGGTTTAGTTAGTTTCATAATTATTTGAAAATTATATGTACTTATCAGACAGTATCTGAAATTTTGTTTAATATTATAAACTTGTATAGTAATTGAAGGTAACAAGAATGTCTTCTCGATTTTTAATTGGTGTCTTGTCCAGTTCTTCGATGTATGCACTAGTTTTCTTATCAAAATTCCACTGGTCCTCCGCATGTGAAAACATTAGTTCTTGTGGTAGTAGGGATTACCATGCTGACTTAATTCTGATGGAGGTTCAAGCATGCAAAGGTCATTATATTAACTCTTGATTTTTAGTTTGCAAGCATGTGAATAAGCCTCCATTTATATTGCCCTCTCGGAAAAGGTAATATGATAGCATGTCTTGTATATTGAGTTTATGAACAGCGTTATCGAAGTCATCTATCTTACTTTTTCTCGTAAACATATTTTCTTTCAAGAATGTATCTTGAATGTACATTTTCATATTTGGTTGCACACATTTGGTGCTTGAAATTTGTATTATGCTTTTGTTAAGAAAATGACTGAAAATCATTGCTTTGTTGATTCAGATGAACATACATACTCTTCTAATTATTCATCGGAAAGCCCTATTTCATGGCGAGGTGATGGCAAATACTTCGCAACGTTAAGCAGGGTGAATAATTCTCAGACCTTGCATAAAAAGCTAAAAATCTGGGAACGGGACTCAGGGGCACTCCATTCTGTTTCAGAATCAAATTCTTTCATGGGATCAACTTTGGATTGGATGCCCAGTGGAGCCAAAATTGCTGCAGTTTATGACCGGAAGGAAGATAGAAAATGCCCATCTATAGTTTTCTTTGAGAGGAATGGATTAGAAAGAAGCTCATTTTGCCTCAACGTAGAAATTGATGCTACTATAGAGCTTGTGAAGTGGAATTGTAACTCGGACCTTCTAGCTGCTGTGGTCAGAGGGGAAAAGTATGACTCTCTGAAGATCTGGTTCTTAAGTAACAACCACTGGTACTTAAAACAAGAAATCAGATACATGAAGGATGACAGAGTCAGATTCATGTGGGATCCGATAAAGCCTCTACAGTTGGTTACTTGGACTACAAGTGGGCATATCACGGGCTATAACTTTGTATGGAATACAGCTGTCATGAATAACTCAGTGGCACTTGTAATTGATGACTCCAAGATACTAATAACCCCTCTTTCTTTATCTCTCATCCCACCACCTATGTACCTCTTTTGTTTGAATTTTCCCTCTGCCATTCAGAGTATGGCATTTTGCTCTAGAAGTTCTTTGAATCACCTGGCTGCATCCTTGTCAGATGGCAGATTGTGTGTTGTAGAGCTTCCTGCAATTGATTGTTGGGAGGAGCTAGAAGGTAAAGAGTTTGATGTTGATGCTGCCTCTTTTGATTCAGGCTATAATTCTTTCATTCACCTTGCATGGTTGGATTCACACAAGCTTCTTGGTGTTAGCCATTATCTAGTTAGCAACTCAGCAATAAAAGAGTCCTCTAAGGATAAGCTTTCTATGTATTGCCTCCAAGAAATTGATCTTATGTGTTCTGAAGATCGTCTTCCTAATTCAGTGACATGCTCTGGTTGGCAAGCTAAAGGTTTGAATAGATTGTCTCTTGAAGGTACCGTAATTGGTATAGCTCCTAACCAGGGAAATGGCTGCTCAGCATATGTTCAGTTTGATGGCGGGGAAGTGTTTGAGTATGCGTTGAAGTTGGCTGATGCCAGAGGGCTTCATCAGAAACGTGAGGATATGAGTTTTT